TGATGCGTCATTGTGTAGTTTTTTCCCCCGATCACAGCCCGACCGGTCGGCGAGCTCGTTACCTTGCAAATCGGGCTTAAAATCCTGTAGTGTGAACTAGGCATTAAGGGCACTGCGCTTTGGCATTTTTAAGACCTGGGACAGTCTTGCGCACTTACTTCCTGTCGCGCACACACGCTCTCAAGTGGCAAAGACCGAAAGTGTGGGTATTTGGACAAGGGGTGAGACAAGGGGAAACTTCCCATTCACACAGCAGCTGGCAAACAGCGGTTATTCAAGTCACAGCAAATGACACAACCCCCCCACCCCCTCGTTTTCTCGCGCACAAATTGTCACATATAGCTACAAAGAATAAAGTACATTTCGAGATTATTAGATAGTCTTATCACAGTTCACACGATAAGATCCAGCTGAGTTCATATTTCAAATTTTAATTAATCGATGCTGACTTTTATATCCGAGTTGAATATTTGAGACATGCAGATCACAGAACAGACGGCACCTCCGGTATAAGACAGGATTTAAAACCTTCAAATAATATCCTCATTACTGTGAGTTACCAACATGAAAACACACGAAACACACACTTGTTGTGAGGATGACAAAGAGTTTTAAAAGTTACATTTTTAGAATTGTCTGCTTCAGCGATCTAACAGCGTTTATAACAAAAGGTTTCCTGCATATTAGGCAAACGATTATGAGTAAATGTGTGCACATAAAAAAAAAATTGCAGATACAATAAATTCTAGTCTTCTAATATTTTCTTGTTCTTATTTCTTTTGATTCCTTTTTGAATAAAAAGTCAATTGGTTTGATTTCTCCAATGTACAAGACATGATTACAGCCTTGACGTGCCAGACAGCTGTTGTGCAGTATAATTCCATTCACACAGCAGGGGTTTGTCAAAAATGTGGTTATGAGTCCTGAACATATATACATTTGAGTTCGGTTATATACAAAAACAAAAGTGTTGCGTTTATAATTTTGTTCAGTGTAGAATGCACTTCTAGTCATTCTGGTAATCAACTGAAATGTGTGTGAATAGAAACATAAAATACTGGACTGACAACTGTATTCTGCTGCTGTGTAATTGTGGCTTCTTAGAAAGATGAAGATGGTGAAATCCAGAGCTTCAGAAGACCACCTCATGACTTAAACTGCTTTAGCTTTCCAAAATCCATCATTAATACTAAAAAAAGTCTACTTTGAAATACTATTTCTGATTCAGTGTTGAAATTTTCTTACATCGAAGGAGCATGTGATGCAGAAATGTTGTAAACAGCACTTACTCAATCGTAACATTTTAACCAGAACATTTTAACAGTTTGCTGCTTTTTGTTATAAGATTATAATGATTATAATGTAAAAAAAAACTAAACAAAAATTCTCATTCTTTTTTGACAACAAATCAAGCTCTTGTTACTAAAAATCAACATTCTGGAGAGAAAAGTGAAAGAACTGTGCATAATGCATGCATCAGATGCCATTGCCCAGTTTTTACATCAGACCTAGGCCTATATCCCTGAATTTGGGTGAAAAAATTATATTAAAAACTTCACAGTTACTATTAATTTTACTAATTTGCCTTCATTTGAACAGAGTATCTGACATAAGGCCGATCATGAGAGCTCTATTATCTTCACAACCATTGGTTGTATAGCATTTCATCACAGTTTGTAAGATTGTGTAGTAAGATTGTGCTTAACTTTTCTGTTTTCATTGAAAATAAGTTTCTGGTTGTTTTGCCACTGCAAATGGCTGTCAATGTAAAGATCATTCAATGGTTGCATGCAGAATTCATTAATAGTAAAAAATCATGAAGGAGATATCTTTAATGTCTCAATCTCCTGTAGACAGCCATAAGATAAAATGCATGAGCTTAATTCTTAATTCTCCTGCTTCTCAGATTTTTCTCTTGAGTAAAATACCCCAGTGACTTTGCACGAGTCTCCTCTAGAGTTTTAGATATCAAAGTCTGCAATCATCAGTCAGAGATTTCAATATGACCTCTCATCAAAAGCACCAGTGGAGGTCGCTCCCAACACCCTTTATTTTTTGATTGATATGAAAACTGAGAGGTAATTTAAGTCTCCTGAGATATGAAAGAACATCCTCTGAGCAATTTTGCTCTGGGCATGCACTTTCACATTCAGCAAAAAGCATTTCCCCAAAACTCCCACAGACTTTCCACACATTTTCATGGCTCAAGCTCATGTGTCTAAGGTCTATAATTTCCGGGCAGAGGGCAGACTCGTGGGTGGACATTTTTCTGAATCTTTTCACATGAATTACTCAGAAAACACAGAGCTTATTGAAGTCATCAACCTGATGAGACTTCAATAAGATCATCCAAGAATAATGATGAGATGACTTTGTGACATACCCGCTGAGATATTTGTCACCATAATTGACGAATATATTTAGCAAGCATCACATGCTATCAAAAGAATGAGATGCCATTCTGTCATGAGATGACAGAAAACACCGTTCATAATGATAAACCTCATATTTTGTAGCTGCTGTAGTCTACTGTGAACAACTTCTCTCTGTATGTATATTAAGAGCCCGGATACTGATTCTAGAAATAAGTTTGACATATTTACTTGTTGGATCCATTATACTTGGCTTATTTACATCAGTTCTGGAGGCAAAAGAGGGCAGAGGTGGTTTTAATTTAAGCCAAAGTGGCACAGTGGAGTGTAATATCCTGTGATTCATTTGTGCAATTGCTCATCCACTCTGTCCATCACAGAGAGAGTTTGGAGTAGTTGACAGTGACTTGTATGCTGAATGTGTGCTTTTGTGAAATGAAACACACTGCACTTTATGTTGGATTTAGAAGCTGAACGATCTGCTCTTTTATTTCCCTTAAGCAGTAGCACAGCTAACAAAAATATATTCTAAGAACATTATCCATCAAGTTATGAAAAAGTTAGTTTTGAATGTTCAAAATTGTTTTAAAACCATTTTTTTCTCTTGGTTATACGAATTGTAAGGGAAAATTCCATTTGATCATTTTGCAAACTTTTGAATGGTCTTTGAATGTTTTGAATCATGCATGTCGAACGTTCAGCGAAAAGGTTTCAGAATAGAACATTCCATGAACAGTGTATAAATAATACGTTTGTGCTAATGTTTTGAGAACATTTTTAAAACACCAGATAACATTTACCGACAAAAAACTTTTTGTGCATAGCTACCTTGCCAGAACCTTAATGTTAATAATATTTCACAATAAAGTTTTTACTGTATTTATGATCAAATAAATACAGCCTTGGTGAGAAGTCTTTAAAAAAAACAACAATAAAAAATCATACCGGTCCCAAAATTTTGAATGATGTGTATATGTAAAATATATCATATAAATATGATTAATTAGTTGCATTAATTAGGCAGATTTTCTCAGTTCAACCCCTGATTGTGGTTGAGTCTGTCACACTGAGAATCCAGTTGGAAAACAGCTTTGTTTCCTCTTCTCAAGAGTTACAGAGTATGTTCAGCTCCTAAACCGAGAGAGGAAGTGTTATCTGCACCCTGCCTCCAGACAGAGTCAGTCAGTTAGTCTCAGACTGAGTGCGGAAGGGCTTACCGAAGCCTTTTCAGGGGTGTCGAGTCGGGGATGAAGCTATCTGTGAGCAGCGCTCTGGAGTTTTCTTAAGGAAGGAGTGCAGCTTGAGAGATATATAAATGTGTGCGCTCTCTCTCTCTCACACACACAAACTCGCACACAGAGTTCAAACATCTTCACTGGCAAACAGGAAGATGTGTGTGATAATTTGACTTTAAAAGCATTCTGCTTCCAGAAACGAGTGGAAATATCTCTGGCAGGCCTGAGTCTGAGCTCTCAGAAGTACATGCGGTGTATTAATAAGCACCGCTCGCCTGTTCGAATTTACAGAACTACACAAACTGTACAAATAGGGAATCAATAATAGCATTATGCACACAAATACACATATATGAGATTCATACCAGTGTATCAGGATAGGCTGTTAGATCAAAGAATATTCTGTTGATACCATAGCTGCTTGGTAAAAGATTATGGGCAGTTTTTGAGACTAAAGATCATCTGTAAGTTCCTTTAAATATTTAAAACAAACTTTGAAAAAGTTACACTTACACTTTCACAAGATTACAGAAAATATATCAAAGTCACATCGCATCTGCAGACTATCTATATTTGTACCCTGAAAAACATTCATCCCTGACAGTGAAATTTGCTTGGTTAAAAGTGAGGGAAAACAACACGAAACAGCACGAAATTGTATAGGTTAGGTTATTTATCTTTAAACTCAGCCTTCACATTGTATGCAAGCAGCTTTTCTGAGATAGCCTGACCCTGTCAAGACTGACAAGAAAGTCAAAGAAGCAAGAAACAAATCTTTTACTGAATACTGGAGTCTCCCTGCTCAACAAACTCATATTTCCAATCCTGTCAGTTTACTGTACAGTATGTGAAGTTGGGCAGTATTTTTTAGTGCAAAAACAGACCTTTTCCTCTATCTAGGCATCTGATCATGACTGATTCTGACAGAGAGCCTTTAAATTGCATTTTCATTTTAAAGGTGTAACATGAATTATACAGAACGGTGGTTTACCAAAGAGCATAATCAGAATAGCCTCATCCCCCAAACTACCATTTCAAAGTCGCTGCTCATTTGCTTTTATCTTTGCCGGTACTGCTTTCTCATGACCTGTGGTGTCTTTCTGATGTGGTTTTCCCATAAATGGAAAAAGTAATTGTAAGACATGTATCAGCATCAATTATCAGCATCAAAACTTTAACATCAGAAACTCACCATATAAAAAAAAAATCTAAATAATCTCAAACTATTTTCTTTAAATGAGGCTATTCTTCATTCCAGTGATTTGGACTTGATAGCGACATCTATTGGCATGAATGTATTAGATTTGTTTGTTAACTGCTGTCACCAAAGTTGTATGCTAAATGTTTGTTTTGTTCATTTTTGTTTTTCTCTTTCTCAGGAACATCAACAAAATGGACATTCTTGGATTCAATCATAAATATTTTCATGCATTTTTCATGTGTCTGGAAACATGATTGGATTGCTGTCGCTGTGACATTTTGTGTTCGTGTTTGGCGCTTGATGTTCCTGCATTTATTCTAAAATTGATACGAGGTAAATGTATTTCTGTTGTTAATATTAATATATGATGTGGCTGGATTATTCATCTCATGTGAGTGTACATAATTTTATGGCAGCGGCTATTTGCGATAGATGCTATTTACACTAACGTTAAGTGCAAATAGCGATAGATTCTATTTACATAAAGTGAAAATAGCAGTATTTTCTTAGTGATATGCTATTTACACTAAGTGCAAATAGCGATAGATTCTATTCACACTATAGCAGTATTTTCTGCTATTTCTACTACTAATTGCAAATAGTGGCAAATAGCTGCACCTCAGTATTGTAGTACATTGTAAAACAGCATGCAATAATAACGTATTGAGTGTAAATGATCATTTTTATTAGAATTATTAAATGGATGCTGCCTTATTGGGACAATAAAGCCATCCCTACACTTACCCTAACCCTGCCCGATACTATTTTAAACTTTTCGATTATTTCCTTCATTTTTTTATTGAAAACAAATGCCTTTCCGATGTGATAAGAGATGTGAAAAGGGAGAAGAATGAGTTCGGCAAAAGGTGGATTCGAACTCGAGTTGCTCGTGTCATAAAGAATGTGTCATGCACTTTATCATCTACTTCACTTAAGCCATTGATTGACAGCCGTCTTCTGTTATGTTGTCCAGCCCAGCCACACACTGGTGGGTGGAGTTAGTGCAAATAGCCTCTGCCAACAAGGCAGGCTATTTGCACTTAGTGTAACACTCCATAATTGTATTCATATTTTTCAAAATTGCTGTTAATTTCTTCATGTGCAAAACCTTTTTAATTAGCAAAAAAGTAAAAGTGGACCTTTAATTTACTTAGAAAAAAAGTGCATATTTATTGGAAAAATAATGGGAAAAATTATGGAATGGAAAAACTGCTAAAGAGTGACAAGAGACTGAACAACAAATTAAAAAACAACAAAAACAACATATTTTTCTTATTTCAAAATCAACATTTACAGCATGACTATAATTATCTTCAGTGCATGCCCATTTCTCTAGTAAAAACAAAGAACATTAAGACAAGACATCTTGCATGCTGTTTACTGTAAGGTCCTCCATCATTTACATGCTTGTTATATTTAGGATCATCTCACATGTGCCAACATGAAACAGACCTTAAATAATTGCTCTATAAGCTCATGATTTTTCATCAAATGTTTGGACAGATTGATAGCGTCCATTGATTTGAGCTTCATAATACAATTCAATTATGCATTTTCAAGTCACACCCAAGACAATCTGATAAAGACATTCAGATGCTCCCGGTGTCCCTCCACCATTACCAATTCATCATGCGGTTCACACGCACGCTAACAGTCACACTTGTTTTTCCATAAATTCAAACATAACTCTGGGCTCGTCAGTGGGATGAGATCTCCCGAGCCGACAATCAGAGGAGCAAATTCAATTATGAGCAGCATGTTGAAAAATCCCATTCTCGCTCTGACCCAGACAAGCTGTTGTGTTGCCAGGATGAACTTTGTAGGATAACTTCAGCTGGTTTGATAATTGGATTTTCAGCCATGAAAAATAAGGATGACATTTGTGTCAGGGGCAGGAGATTGCGATTAAATGTGTTGGTATTTGCTTCACTAGTAGATCCTGCTGGGTAAAGATCTTTTAAATATTGCACACGGAATTAAAAAAAATCACTTTGGGGTAATAAAAAATGAGTAAATAAAATATCAAGGCCCTCAGCTATTATATGAATCATGGTGAGAGTATTTCTGTTATTTTTAGATATAAATAAAATTATACATTTCCTTAGTGCGGTTTTCTCACCTGTAGGCAACACTATCAACAGCATGCAAAAATACCTGATAACCCACTGGGGATAAAATGGGTGTAAAGTTTTCACTCAGAAATTGCTAGTAAATTTCAAAAACAATTGCAATGAAATGGCAAGTGACACATTGAATTAAAGTAGAAAGACTATTTTCTTGTAAAACAGTTCAGTAATCATTGTTTTATTTACAACTTCAAAAAATCATTTTTACAGTGTGTATACACTCTTAAAAATAAAGGTGCTTAAAAGGTTCTTCACAGCGATGCCACAGAAGAACCATTTTTGGTTCTACAATGAACCATTCAGTCAAAGGTTCTTTAAAGTGCCCCTATTATGGATTTTTGAAAATGACCTTTGATGCAGTGTGTAACACAGCTTTAAGTGAATGAAAACATAGTGCAAAGTTTTAAATCTGAAAGTGCACGGTGCATTATTGTCTCTCAAAAGAAAAAACAACATTAACATGAAACATTAACATATTGCCAATGCCCGCCCACTTGTTGGTCTTTTCGCATTGGTCTGAATGAAAATGCAAATTCATTCTTTGCCACTAGGTGCCGCTTTTGGAGCGGTAAAAATAGCGGTTTCCCGGTAAGGGGCCATTCACACAGAATGCGTGTTTCCATTCCAATGAGCTACTTTTCCATTGTTTTTCTATGTAAACATGCGCTTGATGGACGTGCATGACCGTTACGCTCGCGTCTCGCACATGAGTGCCGCGTTTTTAAGATGCCGTGTCAAGTTAAAAGAATTTCAACTTTTACACGCAGTGCCGCTCATCAATGTCAGTTCCAAAAGTAGTGGACCAATCAGAAGAACTCGGAGGCGGGGCAAGCGTTGCGAGCTTCTGTTTACAGTAGCAAGTTGGCATGACAACTGTTTTATTTGACGGCAACATGGCGGAGGACGAAGTGCTCATAGTGGTTGTGTCCGGATACCCTGAATTATATAACATTCCTTGTTGCTTGTTCCTTAAAAAAAGAGCTTGGAGAGAAATATCTATCTAGCCATCTAGCTTCAGCTCTTGAACAAGCCGATGGTATTCCCCGTATTTATGTCTGCATGGAGGATGGAGTGAACCCAAACAGATCTCTGTCCTTTTGTTCTCTGAGCAGCAACACCATTTTTATCGATGTCAAATGCCATAACCAGTGCAATTATTTTCTTTTTTTCCATGTCAAAATTCGTATCTATCAATTCTGCTGTTTGGCTATTTCTATTATTTCCGTTATTGTCCTTATTGCATCACGTCTCAAAAGCGTGTCTCGAGACCCTCGCGTTCTACGCTGGTCTTTAAAAAAAAAAAACATTCCTGAGCGCTGCATCTCGTGTTTTTAGACGCAAAGACACGTTCTATGTGAATGGCCCCTAACGCTGTACACAAAGCAGCCCTGCGCTCACAAGCGCTGCTTTATCAGTCATTACAGGCATGATGAAATGATAATGAGACAAATCGGACCAATCACCGCAGATTAGCGCCACGCAAAGGAGGGGTTTGGAAAAATGAATCGTTGAGCGAATCGTTTGGGAGTCGTTGAGCAAGTAAGGTAAAAATAAATGCATGTTATCAGACAATGAAAGTGTTTTTTGACCTTGCATGCATGTCAACCTGTTGTGGTGGACTCACAAAACCATATGAACCTTTCATTACCCATAATAGGGGCACTTTAACGAACCATCTCTTTCTTATACAATCTGAAGAACCTTCTTTCCCTTTCAGTCGGTCACTCTCGACGTCACGTCGGATGACCGACGAATTCGACTGCGATCTGGCATCTACGGGGGTCTTCCCGGCGGGAAGAGCACCAATCGACGAACAGGTTCCACTTCAGCCTGTAAGCGTGTCTGGTAGACGGGGCTCTAGCTGACGTGATGGTGTTTACTACCGCTGGAGGTAGCCCACCTAGAACCTCCGCGTCCCGTCCAGGGACCACAAGTGGAGATTCCACAAGTCTGGACGCGGGTGCCAGAGGGTGCCCCCTCTCTGAGAAAGGAGATCCCTCCTCAGAGGAATTTGCCAAGGAGGGGCTGTCGCGAGGAGCATCAGTTCGGGGAACCAAGTCCGACTGGGCCAATATGGCGCTACCAAGAGGACCTGATCAGCGTCCTCCTTGACCTTGCACAGTGTCTGTGCGAGAAGGCTCACTGGGGGAATCGCATATTTGCGTAGGCCCCGAGGCCAGCTGCACGCCAGTGCGTTCGTGCCGAGGGCTCCCTCGGCCAGGGAGTAAAACAACTGGCAATGGGACGTGTCCGGGGAGGCAAACAGGTCTACCTGAGCGTCCCCAAAGCGTCTCCAAATCAGCTGGACTGTCTCGGGGTGGAGTCGCCATTCTCCCGGAAGGGCGGGCTGACGTGAGAGCTCGTCGGCTGCACGATTGAGCTCGCCTGGGACATGAACGGCGCGAAGCGACCTCAGATGCTTCTGACTCCAGAGGAGGAGATGGCGGGCGAGTTGCGACATGCGACGGGAGCGTAGACCGCCCTGGTGGTGTACGCAACGGTCGCAGTGCTGTCCGTACGGACCAGTACGTGCTTGTCGTGCCAGCCATACTGCTTGCAACTCGAGGCACTGCGGGGCGGGGTGCGCGTGGCGAAACACGCACGCCAACTGTCATTGGCTTGTTTAGTTTACACTCGAAGGTGATTGGGCTCTCGGGCGAGATCCCAATTCGTCAGTCACGACTGACGTAACGTAGAACGTGACTGACTGAAAGGGAACCGAGACGTTCACCACAAAGAACCTTTTGTGAAACAGAAAGGTTCTTCAGATGTTAAAGGTTCTTTATGGAACCATTTAGACAAAACAGGTTCTTCTATGGCATCGTGAAGCACCTTCATTTTTAAGAGTGTATGCTGAGATTTTGAAGTAATCAACAGAGACAAGCTGAGGAGACAACAGATACAAAAGCTGAAAAATAAGGTAAGCAGCTTTTTTTTATCAAATATTTTTCAAGTATACCAATTGTCTCTGTTTTAAAAATTATTTTTTGGTGTTGGTCCATCATAGATAAAAAACATAGACTGTCAATGGACACTGATTGGCAATATGGCAAATGTAGTATATCCGGGAAATTATTTATTCTACACACCTGCAGAACGAAGGTACTTCAGCAGCGGTTGAGAACCACTGAATTCAGTACAGGAACTTGGACACAGTTTATGACACAAATAATGCTGTTTATTCATAAAAATTAATCTACTTCCTTT